TCGCCGTCGCCGTCGCCGTCGCCGTCGCCGTCATCGTCGCCGTCGCCGTCGCCGTCATCGTCGCCGTCGCCGTCCCCGTCGCCGTCGCTGTCGTCGTCGTCTTCGTAGTTTTCGTCGTCGTCGTCGCCGTCGCAGCCGCCGTCGCCGTCGCAGTCGCCATCGCCGTCGCCGTCGCCGTCGTCGTCGTCGTCGCCGTAGCCGTCGTCGTCGCCGCCGCCGCCGCTGTCCCGTCGCCGTCCCCGTCGCCGTCGCCGTCGCCGTCGCCGTCGCCGTCGCAGCCGCCGCCGCCGTCCCCGTCGCCGTCGCCGTCGCCGTCGCAGCCGCCGTCGCCGCCACCGCTGCCATCGCCATCGCCGTCGCCGTCGCTATCGCCGCCGTCGCCGTCGTCGTCGCCGTCGCCGTCGCCGTCGTTGTCGCCGTCGCCGTCGCCGTCGCCGTCGCCGTCGCCGTCGCCGTCGCCGCTCCCCCCACCCTTTCCTTGGGCCCTCCTCCTCAAACGCGCCAGCCAAAAGGAAATTGAGCCACTTCGAATTGAGTCGAAACCCCTTCCCTTTGACCCCTTTCCAGCGGGGGGGGGCCCCGGGGACGGTGTTGAGGCGGGGGGTGGAGGGGAGTGCTGAAGGGGCGGGTGGAGGGGGAGTCTCAGGTCAGAATATCATACCCCCAGGGGGTCCCAGAGCCCAAAAAGGCCCCAAGACGGGCAAAGAGTGCCCCAAAAGGCCCCCAAGACGGTCCAACAGGGCCCCGAATCGCCGAACAATCGGTCCAAGACGCCCAAGATAGCCTCCGGACGGCCCAAGAGGCCTCCAAGACGCCGCAAGAGGCCTCCAAGAGTACTCCCAATAGGGCCCCAAGGTGCAAACTCCATTAATTGTCCGCAGGTTCTTGACTGATTTTGGTGTTCTCGCCTTTTCGGCTTCCCGACGCTCCAAGACAGCCCAAGAGGCCCCCAAGATCGCCCCAAGACGGCCCAAGAGGCTTCGAAGAAGGCCCAAGACTGTCCCAAGACAGCTCCAAGAGGGCGCCCAGACGGTACCCGAATGAACATTTCGAGTCCTCGGCCTCGAGAAGCCCCCAAGAGGCCCCCGAGAGGCCCCCGAGAGGCCCCCAAGAGGCCCCCAGGAACCCCCAAGAGGCGCCCAAGAGGCTCCCGAAAGGCCCCAAGTGGCTCCCAAGAGGCTCCAAAACTGCCCTCCCAGAGGCCCCTGAGCGCTCGAAGGGGCCCCCAGAAGCATCCCTGAGGACTCTTACCCACGTCAGCGTCGTCGTCGTCGCCGCCACAGCCGCCGTCATCCCCATTCAGGGTCGGCGGCACCAGCCGTAAGACCTTCGCAATGTACAGATCAAGGCAAACCAACGGACACGCCGTCATGCACAACTGCGAAACAGGGTCGGGAGCAGCCCTGCTGAGTGAGGAACGGAAGTGCTATTCTGGCCACGGCGAGCCTCGGCCACGAAAAGGTTCCACGATCCAGACCCAGGGAACGGCCCGAAGACAAGAGCGCCTCCTGATACCGAAGGGGTCCTTATTCCAGAGTCTTGGCTGTAGGGACCTGGGGTCGAGGGTCCCCGGCATGGGTGCGGTGGCGGGGCCTCCCTATCGGCTTGGACGAAAGGGGATTAGCACATGGGGGGGCTGGCGAATCGGCTCGTGTGGCTGGTTTTCCCAGCGCCTCCCAGCACTAGAGGCGGCCATGTATGGAGAAAGACGCCCGGCGGCGGGGCAAAAACATCTCGCGTGCGGCTGACTTCGCAAGCCCCCTTTCCCAATCCCCCCCGTTCGTCCGACCCGACCCTAGGCCTCGGGGGGCGGCCTTGTCGACACGGCTGGATCCTTCTAGAAATTCTGGTCAAAAACGCCGTAGGACTGGTTTGGGGGGCCGTCGTCGGCGGCGTCGTCGTCGACGGCGTCGTCGTCGGCGTCGGCGTCGGCGTCGGCGTCGGCGTCGGCGTCGGCGCCGTCGGCACCGGTGTCGTCGTCGTCCGTCGATCGTCCGTCGATCGCCAGTGGTCCGTCATCCATCGTCGAGGTCAGTCATTGGTCATCGTCTGCTTAACGTCGGTATTCGCTCGCCGTTCGCCGTTCGTTGTTCGCCCGTGCTCGTCGCAGTCGTCGTTCATCAACCGTCGTTCTTCGTCGTCGTCCGTCGTGCGTCGTCGCCTGTCGTCGCTCACCAGTCGCCATTCGTTGTTTGCGTCGATGGTCGTTCGTCGGTCTCCGGTCGCAGATTGTCGCACTTCGTCGCTGGTCGTCGTCATTCCACCTTCGTCGTTGATGTTCGTCGCGTTCGTTCGTCGCTCTCTGGGGACACCTGCGCGAGAGCCCCCCGTAGTGGTGCAGCGCCCCCTCGGGGCTGGCGGGCGGCGGAGGCGGCGGCGCACCGCGCTCGCCTCAGGCTGCCGCACCAGTTGGCCTGGCCTGGGGCTCGGCGCCGGCGCGGTCAAGAATCGGCACGTAGTCGCCAGAGGGGTGGCGCACTGTCAACGGGATCAACGGATCAGAGACCTGACCAAATCGATGGTCCGCAGGATAGCGACGACACACGTTTTCCCCTCGCAACGAATGAGAGCACGAACACGTCAGCACCAGAGCCGACAGGCCAGCGGATAACGAGAGGTAGGCAGGACAGAGTATACATACATACATTTACACACACACACATACCCTTGCGGCGGCCGCGGCCTCGCGCGCGGCGACGAGGCGAAGCAAATCGGGCCCTCGGCAAAGAACTAGCGCGCGCGGCCGGGCCGTCAGACGCGGGAGCACCACTGGCTCTACCGCACATGTCCACCCAGGCATGGTGGGCAGCGAGGAAATTGAGGCCTCGTCCGAAGGCGGAGACGGCGGTACCGGACGAGCAACACCGACAAGACGTGGGGCAAGCGAATCCCGAAAAGCTGGGAAACCGGCCGCAGCATTGGAGAAAGGCACGGAAGACGGACGCACCACGCAGTCCCAAAGTGGGAAGACGGGGTGGGGGAGCAGCAGCAGCATCGCGGAGCTGCGGGAAGGGGAGACACACACACACACACACACTTTCAAGTCAGAGGCGCACAGGGTACTCAGGCGCAGGCAGCGGATGAAAGTGCGAATTGCGACCGAACATTGTCGATAGCGCAGCGTGCGAACATCGAACACTACAACATGCAAGCGATGGGTGGGTTACAGGAGCTGCAACTCCAAACGAAACACGCAGCGGCCAGAAAACGAGGAAAGCACCCAAGTCAAAGCGAACTGCAGCACGACAGCCCAATGCGAATTGCCGCCACTCAATCACCAGAGCGGCGTTAGAGAGTGAAGCGCAAAGAATAAACGCTGCTAGGCACATTGGTGCTGTGGCCAAACCAGCGGTCCTGCGAGGCCAATTGGAAGTGTCAACCAGTAGACCAGCACCGCAAAGCGACCGCGATGATGGGTGGAGAAGCCAAAGACGCGTGACAACGCCGGCCGCAGCGAATCAAAAGAGCTGCGTCATCGGCCGCGCTCAAGGCTTCAACACCGGAACGGGTGCATGAATAAACGTTCGATCGCACAACCTGCCAGCAAACATGCAAATGTCGCATCCCAACGCCTGCAAGACGGACAGTGGCGAACAGCATCAAACCAGTGCCACTGCAAGGGCAAACGAGCGCGGCGAGTCGGCCAGCTAGCCAGACAACCACCGACACTGTCAAGAAAGGAAAAAGAGGGAGAGAGAGAGAGAGAAGACGACAAAAATAAACGGCGAGAGGAGACGCGCGGTCGCGCCGACATGACAGGGCGGCCGCGAACGACACATCCGCCCACGGCGCGCGCAGTGCGACTACCCGCCAGGATAATCAAGCAGCCAAGGCAGTCGGCAAAGAGCGCCGCGCCGGCGGCAGCGCCGCAGCCCTCCAGATAAAGAGCCCCGACGGGCGCAGCATCCCGAGACCATGGGCACCGACCTCTTGCCCAGGCCCCCAGCCAGAGGGCCCAAGAAGTCCCGCCTCCTGCGGCGGGGGGGCGAGCCGGCCCCGCTGCCGCCGCCGTTCCACGGCAGCCTCTCGGCACGACTGGGGGGCCCGGGGACGGCGGCGGCGCCGCACGGGGCGCCGAACGAGACGCCGCCACGGGCGCGGTGGCGCCGCGACGCCGCCTAAGGCGGCACAGTCGCGAAATGGCGCCGCGCGAGGAAACCGCGCAGGCCACCTGCTAGCCCGAGCCAGGGCGCCCAGCGAAAGGCGCCCACGGCAGCAAAGCCGAATGGGTGGGGCACGATGGCATAAGCGCCTGGAAACTACAGGCGCCTCCGCCGCCACACCTGACTAAGGGAAAGAAAGCGGCGAAGCGAGGACAGCGCGAGGAGACGCGCGGTCGCGCCGCACGGCACGACAGAGAAAGGGTCGGACAGCCAACCGACCCGAAGCCCCGGCAGCTGCGCACATCTGTCGAAATGTCAGCGGGGCCGAGCTGACGGCGTGACGCCGCCTGCGGCGGCAACGTCGGCAAAGGCACAGACCGCACCTGGCGACGCGCGGGGCGCGCATGCCTCGCGCCACAACGACGGGACGCAGAAAGAAACTGAGCACCAAGGGCGGCTAGCTGCCAGGCCCCACGGGTGGCGCGCACCAGGCATTGGCAACAAAGTTGCTGCGTAAAACACTCACTGGCTCTCGACTAAAACTTGCACAGACGTTCCCAAGCAAAAGAAAAGAGCGGGAGCAGGGGCGGGAGAGCGATCAGAGATGGCAACGCCAGGGCGGAGGGAACCACTGACGGCCGACCCCGCAACCTGAGCGGATAGGCGCGGCCAGGTTGAGATCATCAGAACACGGACTTCCCCCAGGACAATCGCGAGCAGCGCCGAGGTCCCACCAGGGCACATGCACCCGACCGCAGGACGATGTCTCCCCCGCACTCTCGATCGGCCTCGCTTCCGCGCACCAGAGGAATACGCAGCGGCCCGTAGATAGGTGGGGGCCTAAGACGGACATGCAGCGGGCCACGGCAGAAGTGGCACTCCCCATCTTTCGCATTACACACGACGCAAAGGGGAACGCGTTGCACAGGCACCCAATACCGAGGGATCCTCCGCATACCCGGGCAAACCCTGCAGCCTGCCGACGCGGCAACCCCACGATCCACGCATGGTCACACCAGCATACTGCGAGCAGCCTCGTAGAAAAGCTGACTCCACCTAATGCGTGCAACTTCCTTGGCAATGACGCACTGCGAAAAGAAATCCCACCAGCCCTTTGGGCGTGAGTGGTTTAGCGAGCTCTCTCTGTTCTCAACCCCCCTTCTTCCCCTTCGGGGAGGGGTTTACCCCTCCCCCTACCCCCTCCCCTGGACCTGGAGAGGGCGGGCCGAGTGGTGTCAGGGGGGTCTTTTTCGACTCCTGGGAGGGCCAAAAAACGACGACCCTCACGAGGATTCTGGCCCCCGGGGGGGGGGGGGAGTTTGGCGCCTCTACTCCTCTTCGAAGCAGAAATCATTGATTTTACCAAGGTTTTGGCCCCATTTGGGACTTCTGAGGGGGCCGCGCTCATCGTCCTTCATCGCAAAATCATTGATTTTACGAAGGTTTTGGGTTCATGTTGTCCTTCTCAGGGGGCAGCTAGACTTTGCGCTTCTGAGGAGGCCGCAGGAGGCCCCAAGATGGCCCCAAGAGGCCCCCAGGAGGCTCCCAAGAGGCCTCCAAGAGGCCCCCAAGTGGCCCCCAAGAGGCCCCAAGAGGCCCCCAAGAGGCCCCCAAGAGGCCCCCAAGAGGCCCCCAAGAGGCCCCAAGAGGCCCCCAAGAGGCCCCCAAGAGGCCCCCAAGAGGCCCCCAAGAGGCCCCAAGAGGCTCCAAGAGGCCCCCAAGAGGCCCCACGAGGAGCCCGAACGACTCACACCAGGACGAGGGGCCCGAACGACTCACACCACGAAGAGCCCGAACGACTCACACCACAAGGAGGGGCCCGAACGACTCACACCAGGACGAGGCGCCCGAACGACTCACACCACGAGGAGCCCGAACGACTCACACCACGACGCGGGCCCCGAACGACTCACACCACGAGGAGCCCGAACGAGTCACACCAGGAGGAGGGGCCCGAACGACTCACACCAGGATGAGGGGCCCGAACAACTCACACCACGAGAAGCCCGAACGACTCACACCAGGACGAAGAGCCCGAACGACTCACACCACGAAGAGCCCGAACGACTCACACCAGGAAGAAGGGCCCGAACGACTCACACCAGGACGAGAAACCCCAAACGACTCAAATCACGAGGAGCGCTTTCTCTCCCTCCTCCTCCGCCTCGTCCTTCTCCCGCTCCCCCCACAAGGAGGATGTACAAGTAGGCGGGAGGAAGGAGGAACAGGGGAGATATGCGGGCCCAAGCGGACACACGCCTGACAAACACGACTGTCGGCATGCTTCGCAAGAGTTGCTGCTGTGAGATGGGCTGGTGGGGATACGCGAAGCGTAAAGAATTCAGAGAATTGGCACGGATGGGGGGCACACCCATGCCAAAGCACGCCCCACATGCAAGAGTCTTCCGCGCTGGCAGCCATTTTTCGACTGGGTCAAAATCGGCCGCGCAACAGGTCCGCACCGCCACTGGTTGATTGGTTGATCGGTGCTGCACCGCAGTAAACCGCCGGCCCGCAGCCCCCAAAAAGCCCTTAAACGTTTCAGCTCCACAGAGCACGCACGTCACATGAACGAGCGATGGTGCACGGCCTCAACTGAAGCCTTGAGAACTGGGAGCGCCATGGGCGAGCGCGCGTAGGCGGTAGTAGCGCCCTGGGCTTGAGCCTGAATGGGCTACCAGCGGAGGCCCCAATCGGGCTGGCTCCCACGGAATTATGCCCCTGTCGCGTTGATCCCCCCACTACTGGGGTGCCCGTCGAGATGTATTATGGATGCTCCGCTTGCAACTGGGCGCCCGAAATAAAAGCTCGCAGCTGCTCTGAATTTAGCAGAGAAGGATATTTGACCGCCGAAGCAGACCCGCTCGATCGGCGATCGGCTTCCGCCCACCTCTCCAAATGGCCTCGCATATGGCGCGCCCCGCTCCGCGTTGGCGCTGCGTTGGAGGTGATTGATGAAGGCTGCGAAATTCCACTGCGCGTTCTCATCGCGCCGTGAGGCCCCCCACCTAGATGGCCCCGTTCGCCGGAGCCTCTGCCGCGGCTGCTCGTCGATGCAAACATCTGGTGGATGATCCCGTTAGTGGCCCCCCTCTGGTTGCGTCGGACATTGCCCCCCCCTCGCGAACTGCATGTTGGCGCCCCCCATTGGTCTGGAACCGGTCTCATCCTGACTGGCCGGCTCAAGACCCCCGACAGCACCTGTTCACCACGCCCGCAAACGGCGCCCACGCAGCCTCTTGAGCATGTAAGTTGGCCCAGGAAGACGACGGGGGCACGAGCCAGTGGGACGGCGCACTCCGCGCGCCGATCGACG